TTTTTTTTTCAAAAATGGGATTTTTTTCGAAAATTGTGCTGATTGTACAGATTTTTTAAAAAAATGTACGGATCTTTAAAAAAATGTACGGATTGGTTTAAAAAAATGTACGGATTGTACGGATTTTTTTTTTAAAAAATTGTACGGATTGTACGGATTGTTTTTCGAAAATTGTACGGATTGTACGGATTTCTTCTGAAAATGTACGGATTTTTGTACGGATGGGTTCAAAAAAGTTTTGGCCACCCTGCAATTGTGAGAGGAGGGAGGGAGTGCAATCACAAGAATTTGTAATACTCACCACACAAATCTATTTCAGGATAGGGGTTTATAGGTTGGAAGAAGTTGAAAATTTTCCAGCTTTAAAAGTGTTTACTTCTTAAAAATCCTGCATGTTTTCCTACATGCATAATCAGTTAAAAAAATTATTAACATTGATATCTAATTTAAAATTTGGTGATGATGGTGGACCAAAACTCATGGAGTAATTAAAGTAGATGCTAGTTTCACATTTTATTCAAAATATATTTTGGTCTGGGTTGACCCTTGTCAGTTTTTAAGATTGTTTCCTTTATGAAGATGTAAAGCTTTTGAGGGTATCGTAGTGAATCAGGCATTCTCAATTTAGTGGTAATCCTGATATATTAAAACATTTGTAATCACTTAAAATGTTCACTTCAGACGGAAACTGTTTCTCAGACAAAACATTTAAAAACTAATTTGTGCGATGATTTAATTTGATTCAATGTGGGTGCACTCCCTCCCGTGAGGCTTTAATTAGTACACGACATTCAGAAAATTTTACTACTTTTAATAGAATATAACTTGAAATATTTTTTGAATAAATTTAAATTTAGGGATCGGGCTCGGCCGAGATCTAGATCAAGGGAACGATATTATTACAGGTAATTAAGAAAGTCGGTCCAGGGACCAATATTGTTACTAAAAAGTAGGTCCAGGGACCAATATTAGTACTAACAAGTGGGTCCTGGGACCAATATTAGTACTAACAAGTTAGACCAGGAACCAATATTAGTACTAAAAGTGGGTCCAGGGACCAATTTAAATGCTATAAAGTCGGTCCAGGGACCAATTTAAATGCTATAAAGTCGGTCCAGGGACTAATATTATTACCTAAAAGTGGGTCCAGGGACCAATATTATTCTTAAAAAGTGTGTCTAGGGATCAATATCCGTACTAAGAGGTGGGTCCAGGGATCAATATCCGTAATAAAAAACTTGGTTCCAGGGACAAATATAATTTGATGAAATAAAATTTTCTTGGTAACATTAAAGGTTTAGTTGTAAAAACAGAGTTTTTAGAGCCTGATATTGCTACGAGTTTAAGAATGGAATTTCGAGGGTCCAATATTCCCGGGTCCAAAATTGTAAAAACTTTAACTAAGGTTTTGGTCTAAATTAGCTTATTTTAACAGATTCCAGGGCACTAATTTGAACAGTTCAAAAATAGAGTTTCTTGGGCCCAATAATATTGCTCTGATTGAAAAAAAAACTGATTTTTCATGGTCCTAAATTGTAATACTTTGCATAGTTTAATAGATATTTCAAGGCCCAGAATTGTTATAGTTCCAAAACAGAGTTTCTAGGGCCCAATAATACTTCAAGTAGAAACAGTCTGAGGGCCAAACATTTCCATAGCTCAAAACAGCGTTTTGAGGGCCCAACTTTAGTTAGAAAACTGAGGTTTCGAGGGCTCAATATGACCCTAGTTGAAAAACAGAAATTCTAGGGGCCAATAATGGAGTAAGAAACTTCCCTAATATTATATTATTTTAAGGGACAAATACAAGGGTGGACGGTCTCCTGAAAGGTACAGGTATAAGGAGAATACTTCCTCACGTGCGCCCGCACGCCCTACACCTCCACGACAAGGAGGGCGCAGTTCAGTTCCTAAAGATCCGCAGAATAGGAAGTCTACTCCAACAGGTTAAAATTGTTTTTGTTGTTATTTTTCTTCCGTTTTTTTGAAAATCTTGTGATTGTTTTTAATATTTTGATTTTAAAATGTTCAGTGGACGAACACTGGGACGTCGATGATCGGCACCCAGCTGGGGATAGTCGACGATATGACGAGAAAGATCGCCGAGTCGAGGTCGACGATCGTCGATTTGACGAAAGACAGCATGTGCCTTCGTGGAGAGCGGACGAAATGGCTCGTTACGACGAGACTGCTCGAACAGACGACTACGCGCGAGGGAGAAAGGCAAAAGTTGGCGAGGAACGGTTTGAGAGACGCGACCCTAAAGAAAGGTAATAATCCAGAAAATCCCAATTGTCTAATGTTGAGATTATTCAGCAGAAAATGATCAATAAAAATTTACCCCCCTGTAGAATAGGCTTGGTAACAAAAAGTAAATATTTTTATAGAAAATTACTAAAGAGGACTGTAAAGTGTAAGGGTAATTTCAATTAACGTGAGGGTACGCTAGCACACAGTTTGAACTCAACACTTGTAAATACAGAATGTTTTTCGTCCAAACCGGTTTCCTAAAATTCGAGAGCAAATATTTATTTTCTGCAACTACTAGAAAGTAAATATTTATAGTATAACACAATTAGAGTTTTTTAGAATTAAAAGAATAAGTCCGTTTTATTCTAGACCAGTCAAAAGTGAATCGGACTCGCCACTTTTAAATTAGAGGGTCACTTAAGCCTACAGATTTTTTTTAAATGTGTATAGATTGGAAACACGGGATAAGGATTACAGGCATAAAGATACAAGAGCTTATCAGAAGGAGTACAGGTATAGTTAAGAACAAATTAAACCAATTTACCGGATGCGCAATGTTTTGGGGGACTGGATCCAAAAATCAGTCAAAACTTTGAATGATAAGTGCCTACTTGGGAATTTTCTCTCCATAGCCAACAAAGTTTCTGCATATAAATAAGGAAATATTGATTTGAATGCATGGTTTTATATTTTCCTCATTTTTAGATGATCTGAAGATTGGAATCCGCGTAAATTAAAATGAAAATTATTGTTAAATTTGTTCAGAAGTTACAGCAGAACAGAGCATAGTGTGGAACTCAGAAAAGATGAACACAAGGAAACCATTTATTGATAAATCACAATTTCTGTTTTAATTTCCTAGGATAAGGGTTGACTGCGATTATTGTTATTGGTAATTTGTAATATTGACACATATATCTTCCATCTGCCTTTTTAAATACTTGCTTCTTTTTACCTAGAAATAACCCTTGCTCTTCGTTAGTGAAACTAAGCATAGAGTCTGGTTGGTTGGTTTATTGGTTGGTTGGTTGGTTGGTTGGCTGGTTGGTTGGTTGGTTGATCGATCGATCGAATCATTGATTGATTCATTGATTGATTCATTGACTGATTCATTGACTGATTCATTGGCTGATTCATTGACTGATTCATTGACTGATTCATTGACTGAATCATTGACTGATTCATTGATTCATTGATTCATTGATATTTGGTTTGATCAGAAGGTTGATTATGGGAAGGATGATGAAACCAGAACTCCAAGTCTAAGCCTTAGTCCTGGAGACGGCAGGTACATAATATGATAATCTTACAAGGAAAAAAATTAGAAATGGAAATTCTTAAACGAGATGATATTATATACTCATACTCAAATAGTAATTATTACCCTGAAAATCAGTATTTTTCCCAGTTTTGATATTTACCAGCTTTCAATAACAGCATGGATGCACATAAACATGGAAATTAAAAGAAGCTAATCAATTAACAGCTTCTTTTTCTTTACTTGTAAACTTGTAATTTGAAAAAAAAAATTAGAAACCAAAACTTAAATAGGAAAGACGTCTTCATTGTATTGATATCATCGCCGACCTCTGTAAATCAGGTCTGCGTCCAGGGTTGGAGAGGAGGTTGTCTACGAGGACGAAATTCAAGAAGAAAGAGCTAAACTTCGTATCAAAGGTATTATTTTCATAAATATAATTCCTTTTTTTATTATATTATGTACATTGTACAATGTATGTATACGAAAATCAAATTCAATTCTATTACTCTGGAAGGTTTTGCATAAAATATTATTCTAGAAATAAGTTACGATTATCAACACTTTGAATCGTTCATTGACGGTTTTACTGACCAATAAAATACAAACGATTGGTTAAGATTTTAAATTGTTCGTTTTGTTTTTCTTGTTCGATTTGTAAATAGGTTTTGTTTTCGTTTAAAGAAAAATTTTAATAATTTTAGAAATAATTTTTACTTTTTATATTTGTTTTTCTTAGGAGACGTAGATGATAAAAAGGAGAGGAAGAGTAAAAAGAAGAAGAAAAGGGATGATGATAACTCAGAAGATGAAACTAGGAGAAGAAAGAGGAAGGAGAAGAAAGAGAAGAAGGAAAAGAGAAAGGAGAAGAAAAGAGGGAATGATGAGGAGAAGTTAGAACACGCTAGGGCAGAGTCAAAGGTATAAAAGTCGTCTTCATTAAATCTTAGAAACGTCGATGAGAACTTTAATTTGCTACTTTTGAAACTTAGCCACGATCATATTTAGAGATATTTCAGTCATTAAGGTACAAATATTAACCGACATTAGTGATTTGAGGATTGACCAAGGACATAAGTCTATTCTATTCTACATTCTAAATAATATGTTTTTGGGGTTTTAACTGGTTTTATTAATTGATTTAAACCTTAAAAAAATATTTTAGAAGTACTGTGGGGAAATGGGAGACTACAAGCGTAATTTCAACTGAGCCTTGATGCAAAGATGGCAATAACGGACTCAAAAATCTTTTTCTGATCAATTATGTCGAATATATTCTCATTTTTCTAGTTTTTTAAAGTGTTCTAAAAAAATTCCTGGAAAAGAAAGGCACATTTCACTTTTGTAGAGAATTATCAATTGAAAAGAGAACTATCAATTGATAATGATTAGTTCTCAAAATTAGAAACATTTCAAGAGATTTTTTTGTCCCAAGGACATGATCGGTTGTTACGTTCAAATCTCGGATTTTTTCTATTGCGAAAGTTTGGTGTTGTATGGGTTTATATTGATCTACCAGGGGTTGTAATCTGGCAGCATATTCATTCATCCACGCTTCATTCTTACTGAGAAGAGGGTTGACAAGATTCCAGCTGCCTAAGGGCTTCTAAGGCCTAGAAAAATTAGAGACATTAATATCTAATTCATAATTGATCAGACAAAGCTTTAAATCGGAATCGGACAAGCCAATTATTATATTGAGGGTAACTTAAAATTACGCTGACGGTCCCTTTGATAATTGTTCTTTTCTTACCAGGAGGATGACAAAAAAACTGATGAAAGAGCATTTATTGAGAAGGAACCAGGAGACCTCTTAGAACCTGGCCAGCAGAAGCTCCAGGAGCTCCTGGAGACTAAGGAGATTGTTGAACAGGAGAAGGAGGTGGCGGAGGAGAGCAAAGAAGGAGCAGATGCTGATGATAAATCAAGGATAGAACCTGAAATAGAACCTGAACCAGAAATTAATCCTCGGTTTAAGAATTCCTTTAATGAAGTTATAAATCTACCAACCCTGGTCTTTGACAGGCACACAACAAAACTTTCTATTAAGGTGATTTTTTTTCTCGATTAAAAGAGATTAATTTCAAGGGACTCTTGGTTTGTGATGCGGGCACGCCGATGCTATCCCATTTGAACTACTCCCGCTTTAACTATTGTTCATTTGAACTATTGTTCGGTTAAACTACTGCACGTGGTACCACGTGAATAGTTGAAATGAGCAATAGTTCAAACGAGTTTATTTAATGCTCATTTGAACTATTTCCAGTTCATATTTGAATTATTGTTTATTTGAACTATTTCTATGAAATAAACAAAAAAATAGTTCAAATGAACATAATAATAGTTCAAATGAACATAAAAATAGTTCAAATGGGCAAAAAAATAGTTCAAATGGACAAAAAATAGTTCAAATGGACAAAAAAAAATAGTTCAAATGAACAAAAAAGTAGTTCAAATGGACAAAAAATAGTTCAAATGGACATAAGAATAGTTCAAATGGACATAAAAATAGTTCAAATGGACATACAAATAGTTCAAATGGACATAAAAATAGTTTAAATGGACATAAAAAAAGTTCAAATGGACATAAAAATAGTTCAAATGGACATAAAAATAGTTATAAATATAATGGACATGAAAATAGTTCAAATGGGCAATAAAATAGTTCAAAATGGACATCAAAATAGTTTAAATGAACATTAAAAGAGTTGAAATTAACATACAAATAGTTCAATTAGACATAAAAATAGAACCGGTATCAATTTTGTACATGACCATTTTTTTTTTATTTTTCAGCAAATTAATATTGGTCATATGGCCGCAGCGCTCGGTCCCCCAGCCTGTCCTAGCTGCAGCGCTCGGCCCAGAAATGAGCTTAACCTAACCTAACCCTAAATATACACTAATTTTATTAAAATTGTTGAATTATAGAGGTCTTTCCTGGTCGCAGCGCTCGGTCCCCTAGCCTGTCCTAGCCGCAGCGCTCGGCCCAGAAATGAGCTAACCTAACCTAACCCTACAATAATAATAAATAAATATTAATAAATTTGATGAGAAAAAAAATGGTCATATACAAAATTGATAGGAGGGAGGGGACTGGGGGGGGGGGTCCAAAATTTAACCAATTTTTTTGTAATTTTTTCATTTGAATTATTTTTTTTCTCATTTGAATTTTTTTTTTCATTTGAACTAATTCATTTGAACTATTTTTTTGTTCATTTGAACTATTTTAATGTTCATTTGAACTATTTTAATGTTCAATTGAAACATTTCTGTTTATATGTTATCTAATTAATTGTATGGTCCCTAACTTCATAATTATAAAAAAATTTAAAAACTGAATTGGTAGAAAAATAGTTCAAATGAGCAATTAATGTGTTGATATGACGTCATGAACAATAGTTCAAACGAACAATAGTGCAAACGAACAATAGTGCAAACGGGAGTTGTTCAAATGAGAATCAACCGGGCACTAATTCAGGGTTGCCTAGAATTAAGTATTCAGAGGCCGAATTTAAAGAATTTGAAACCGCGGCTCAAATATGGTTGGTTTTCCTGAAAATTGTATAAACATTTTCACGATTTAAGCCGGTGCTCAATTGAAACCGGTTTTTGGGGATTTGAGACGCGGCTTAAATTCATTAAATTCGGACACAGTTTCTTTAAAGGGTCATAAACATTTTTTCATTTAATTCAATAATTCAATTAACTATTCATAGACGTATTAACTATTTTTCAAAGCATTTTTATATAAATCCCTTACGGTTGAAGGTGTAATTTCCTCTATTTAAATAATTATTCAAAATATTCTAATTTTGTGTTTTTTTTAATTTGATTGTTAGTATTTTAAGAACATAATTTTTTAGGTAAATAACATGTTTTATAAAACCTTTGGTAGTAGGCGATTATATCCATACAATGAAGACGACTTTCATTTTCGATTTTGATTTACACAATACACATAAAGAAAGAAGTCAAGAGAATTTATTAATTAAAATATTCTTTTTGATTACATGTAATTTTTTAATTCAAAAATAGCTGGTTAACATTTATAGTTTTTATAGTTAAAGTCGTCTTCATTGTAATGATATGATCGCTTACTACCGTATTACAACAACTACCAAGGTTATTTTTTTCTTTTTTTCTAGGATATGAGTGAACCTACGCCAAATGAACCCAGTAGCGAACTTAAAACAGAATCCAGCAGTAATCTTCTATCCTATTCATCTTATAATATTTCTACTTTGCAGAAGGTAGTAAATATTATAGAAGTAATCTTCTATCCTGTTCATCTTAAAATATTTCTACTTTGCAGAAGGAAGTAAATAATTTAGAATAAATCTTCTATCCTATTCATCTTACAATATTTCTACTTTGCAGAAGGTAGTAAATAATATAGAAGTAATCTTCTATCCTATTCATCTTATAATATATCTACTTTGTAGAAGATAGTAAATATTATAGAAGTAATCTTCTATCCTATTCATCTTATAATATATCTACTTTGTAGAAGATAGTAAATATTATAGAAGTAATCTTCTATCCTATTCTTCTTATAATATTTCTACCTAGCAGATAATTTAGAATAAATCTTCTATCCTATTCATTTTATTTACTATCTACTAGAAGATAGTAAATAATTTAGAATTAATCTTCTATCCTATTCTTCTTATAATATTTCTACCTAGCAGATAATTTAGAATAAATCTTCTATCCTATTCATCATATAATATTTCTACTTTGCAGAAGATTGTAAATAATTAAGAATTAATCTTTTATCATATTTATCTTATAATATTTCTACTTTGCAGAAGTGAAATTTTAAATTTGTAATATAAATGATTTTTCTCCATAGAGCATCATATAACTTTGATGATATCGAAAGTTTTTATTTTTGTCTTCAACAAACCAATTTTGTTTTTAGAGAGGAAAAGTTTCCCGTGTACCAAGTCCTATGTTAAAGAAAACAAGTCCAGTTAAGCCTGAAGAAAGTCCAGTCAAAGAGGAAAGTCCAGACAAGATGGATAGTTCTGTTAGAGCAGAAAGTCCACTTGTCACAGAACTTGTCAAATCTCAGGTAAACAATTTAAAGATTCTATAAGGTAACATTTTTAAGGAAAATTTTTTTTTTCCCCCCCCCCCCCCCAAAAAAAAAACAATATACGTGGCCGGAACCAACTTGTCCAGTATTAACTGTAGTGTACACAATTTGAGATTCTGGTTCTGAGAATTTAGTTTCATGATTGTTTTCATTCCTTCGAATAAGGAAGGTAATAAATATTTATATTTTTGATCTTTAGTAAACAAATTTACAAATTTGATTTGAGCTTTGATTTCAAATTAAAATGTTTTCAAATTCCAAAAGATCAAAACGTTAAGATATCTTGTAAATAGGAGCTAGCCAGATCATGTTGTAAAAAATAATCGGTATCCAAATATTTTTACTGACCCCCAAAGCTTCAAAAATTGAAAAAAAGTTCTTAAACCGAAAGATTATTAAGGGGAGGTAATTAATAGCTTATGACGAAAAAGAAGTATACTTTTTTCTTATTATTCAATTGGTCCCCTTTCCAGATCTTTCCTGTTATGAGTAAATAAAAATATTAGAGAAGATAATTATTTTTTAAATCATAATATTTTTTTTCCTTCTCGGCTTAAAATCTTGAAATAAACATTTACAAATCGAACTTGTCGAGAAAATTGTTTTCAAGGGAAAAAGAGATTTGCACCTTTTATTTTAAATCAATTAGTATTTCACAGTTTGTTCAGATGCAAAAAATCGATATATTTTTTACCCAAAATTGTCAAATGCGATAAAATTTGAGAAAATAATCAAATCTTAGGAAGATAAAAATCAATACTGATCTCCTGATTATTCTTGACAGTTTTTTTAAATCGGAGTTTTTAAAACTAAAAAATTATTGAATAGTTTTAGGAGGAAAATTTCGATTTAATCAGGGATAAATCATGATAAGATAGTATATCGACTATATACACATATTATTTTAGGATATATTTGAGCCCGACAACCCTCTAGTAAAAGTAAGTGAATTTTTAACTTAATAATGGGACTAACAACATAATTCAAAATTGATGATTTTAACTGTGGTTTATTTAAAGTAACTTATGTATGTACGTAGCAGAGAAAAAAAGATAAATAGACAGAATTTATCAAGTTTTAAAAACCACAAAAAACATTATTGCTCAGATTAAAGTATACTGGGTACTGTTGTGAGTCGGGCATACACGAAACACTTTCATTTCGGGTGACGTTATCAGTCCCTTTCCAATAGTTTTTTTTTTACAAAAAAGTCGTCTTCTCTTTAGGAATTTAATTATTCATTTCTCAAGAAAAGTTCACTTTTCTGAACTTTTCTCCGCTTTAAAAAGGTTTTTATTTTGACAACGATAATGTTTAGATACATGAAAAAAAAATGTTAAAATAAATAAGTTTTTAACTCCTGAAGGTTGTGTTATTTTTCACAATTAATTGGTTTTGTTATAATATTTTAAAAATGTTTTAGAATGAGATGGACCCAGATTTTGCCAAAGATCTAGATGTTTTTAAATCTCGTTTGGATCAGAGTAAACAAAAGGAGTCAAGGTAAAGCGGACAGGACAGACAAGGACAAGGACAAGATAGAAGATTAAAGGACAATACAGGACAGGACAGGACAGGACAGGACAGGACAGGACAGGACAGGACAGGACAGGANCTTCGCTAACTGAAGGACAGGACAGGACAGGACAGGACAGGACAGGACAGGACTTGGACAGGATAGGACAGGACTGAGACAAGAGAGGACAGGACAAGGGACAGACGGTACAGGACAGTGCACGGACAAGTAAACAAAAGGAGTCTAGATTAAACGTTCGGGATAGGACAGGACAAAAGGTGACAGGACAGGATAGGAGATTGATTTTATAGGACTGGTCAGGACATGTTAAATCATGACTGAAGTGTGAAAACGAAATGGGACGGGATTAACAAAACAAATTGATGCATATACAATATATATATATATATATTATTTTAAAGAATTTAATTTAATATTCAACTTTATTTGGTCAGAATGAAGGATGAAGATGGAAAGCTGAAAGTTGCTGAACCAGATTCCACAATAGAGGACTCCACTCATCTTCAACTCCATGCAGAGGTTAGTATTGAGTACTCCACTCATCTTCAACTCCATGCAGAGGTTTGTATCGAAGTGCAAAAATAGATATTCTTGGCCAAATTGGACTTATTTTTTTTTAAATAGCTAAACTTCTGAGAGGACAGTGTTTTTTAGAGTTTTATTCGCTGAATTAGGTAATAATTATTTACAACTACTTTACAGGGAAGTTAATGGAATTTTACTTTACCAAGGGTTCTCAATCCCAATTTAGTCTACAAAACATCCAAAGCGCAGCGAGGGACATTATGTAGACTAAACTGGTCGAGGGAACCCGTGGTTAGTAATTACTATTCACAACTTCTTTACAGGGAAGTTTCCTTTACCAGGGAAGTCGTGGTTAAGTAAAATTTTTAATTTCCCGAAAAAGTAGTTTTTATCATCTTTTGAGATGAAAATGCGAGAAATTTTTCCCGAACCCTTCGCAGAACGGGTGGTTATTTTAAAAACTGTCCCAAGGGACTTTAGGTAACCTAACCTCCAGTGCTTAGGATCCGGATCCTTTGGATCCGCAAGATTTTGGCTTCCTGGATCCGGATCCGCAAAAATATGCGGATCCACGGATCCGGATCCAGGGGGTAAAATATCAACCAAAAACTGCAAAAAAAAACTTTTATTTCTAAATCCAAAATATGAACTTTTGAAAAAAAGAGAGATTATGAAAATTTCCTCATTTCTGAATGATTCATTAAGTTTTAGGATAAAAATATGCGAAAAAAATAAAACAAAAAATTTGAAAATTATTTTTTTGTTAAAAAGACTCAGTAAATCTTATAGAAATGAACTGGATCCGCATCAAAATTAAATGGATCCTAAGCACTGCTAACCTCACTTTGTTGGGGGAATCATAGGTCGGCGATGTTGGTCAAAAGGCGGTAAAATTTTTAATTTCCCGAAAAAGAAGTTGTATACAATTTTATTGTCTTTTGAGATGAAACTGCGCTAAATTTTTCATGAAAACTTCTCAGAGCGGGTGATTATTTTATTTAACTGTCTCAAGGGACGTTAAGCAACTTAACCTCCCTCTGTTGGGGGAATCATAGGTCGGTAATGTTGGTCAAAATGCGGTAAAATCAATTAATTTTTTGCGCAAAACGTATCTAAAAGATGAAAAAGTTACCTAATTATTGAATTATTTCATTTTTTCCAAATCGTCAAAAAGCATTTCTGAAAAATATACACACCTGTGATATCTTCTCATATTATTATTACAATAGCTGTCATGAGACATGATTTTTTGTGAAATTGTTTATTATTATTTTATTTATTTCTGTACTTTAAGGGTTGGGAGGACGAAGAGTCCAGATTGGTTAAAACTTCTCCGACCCTGCTGATCAAAGCGTTGAACAATATAAAGGAGAACAAGGAACCCGGAGCTAAGAGGTTAATTATTAAATCAGTGGGATTAAAGCGAATTTCGCGGATTTTTCGAAAATATGAATATGGGATTCCATTAAAATCAAATTTTTTGCAAGTTTACATTATTTGCAAGTGGTTTATGCTATCTTTACTTCAAAATTTCGCTGTTTATTGCGTAATACAAAAATTCCCTTCACATCTGCAGTTTTCTGAGTAAACACTTTGACTAGGTATTTCATATGTGAGTTTAATGAAGCGTTTACTAGAAAGTGTCTTCTGGCTAATTCTTTTGATCCACAACCTACCAGATTTTTATTCAAAATAGAACTGGGATGTAAAAATGCATAATAGTAACTCGTCATCGGGCAGATGATTTCTACAAAGGTCGACTAAAAAAGTAGAAAAAAATCTATGTCAAAAATAAACAAGAACAAAAAATGCCAAAGAATGAATAATAGATAAAAGAAAAAAGACGAGGGAAAATAGATAAAATATCAAAAAATAAAAAGAATTTAACAATAGAACGAATAAAATGCATTGCCATTGAAAAAAATACATCTTATATATAATACATGCATTAAATCTGCCTTACTATACTATCAGAAGAATAAAAAAAAAGACTATTTTTTCCTCTGTAACTTCGACTACACCCCTTTAGGGGTTCTTGGAGTAATCCAACAACTAAACTGAACTAGTTCAAATACAATTATTGATCTAAACCATATAGTTTGACTATTCTCGTGCTCAGGAATAACTTATATTTAAATTGAAGTTATATTTTTAGACGGAAAGTTGAGGCAGGGGTAGACGATGGGGTGGAGGAAGAAAAGAAAAAGAAGAAAAAGAGAAAGAAGAAAGAAGCAGGCTCTGATAATGACAGCGGAAATGAAAAAGAAGAGAAATGGGAGGGTTCTGAGGGTGAAACAGACGGCGAGAAGAGAAAGAAAAAGAAAAGGAAGGACGGGAAGAAGAAAAAGAAGAAGAATAAGATTACTGTTGATACTAAAATTTTAAAGAAATTGATGAAACTGAACACGATGAACAAGGATGAACTGGAGGAGTTTGTCAACAAGAACAAGAAGAAGAAGAAAAAGAAGAAGGAAGACAGAGATGATTCCGAAGACAGAGAGGGATCTAGATTAAAAGAAAAAGAGAAGAAAAGGGTAAAAATGATTTTATTTTTTTATACTATGCCACCATGGGTGAAGGGCAAGAAAATGACTTGACTGCGTGTAATTTCTTTTTATAAAGGATGAAAATGTGACAATTTGACTAATTTTAAACCTTGGCATGCTGCCTAATGATAAAAAATTGGTTGTTAAACCCCAAATCATTTTGAAAATAAATTATCAAATGAACTATTAAAGAAATCTACCAACACGTTAGCCTGACAATTTGGACAAACTCAACAAAATTTAAAAAGAAGATGTAAAATCTAAACAATTAACTTAACTACTTCGCTAACTGACATCGTTAAACAGTTTTACAACATAGCAAGCTGAACACAATGGACAATTTGTCACAACTAGACAGCTTACTACCAATTGAAAATTTGAAAATTTGCGACGGTTTGACAGTTGGCGACCTACAAGACCTGACGGCTTAGAAAGTCAAGATTAAAAATTACTGAAATGGCGACGTAAATTATTTCTTTTTAGAAACATAAAGACTTAATTGATGGAAAGAAATCTGAAGACGGTTTTAGTTCGAAACGATCAAAGGAACGTTCTTACAGTTCGAAAAGGTCGAAAGAAAGATCTGGCAGTCGATTACGATCCCGTTCTCCAAATAAAAGGTAGTTTAATAGATCTCCGTAAAATATTTGACCTTTCTATCTTTGGATTTATCAAGTCTTTATTATTATCCATATAGAGTAAACATCTTCACCTTTTTATCTATCTAGGTTTCCACGCTAGTTTATTTATATAATGAATGTCAACCTATTTATCTATTAATAACCTATAAACCTAATATCTATCTCAATATCTAATCAATTATCTATGTATCCATCTATCTATCTATATATCTAGGTCAAGATCTGTCTCTATAGAGGAGGTGGGTAGTGGGGAGAGACAGATAAAAGAGAGAGAGGTTCGCAGTGTCAAGGAATTCATCAACTCAACATTCATTTATTTATTTATTTATTCATTCATTCATTCATTCATTCTTTGGGATTTGAATTTAAAATTTCTTAAATCCTCTTATTAAAAGAAATAAGCTTTTTTATCTTACGTTTTCTTTCTATAAATTTAAAATTCTCTTTCTTTTAATAAATTATATTTTGTTTTTGAATTATTATTGTATTATTGAGATCTTGAATTTTTCTAAATCATCATTAAAATGTTGTGTTGACCGTTACAGGAACGGCTGGGAAGAAGAGAAGGGTCAGCTGGATTAACTATTCAGGTAGAAACAGTCATTGGAGGTCATAAGTTATAAATCTGCTTTAATTTAAAATTGCATTCGCAGTTTATTTCTCATTAGTGATAAATCTGTGGTCCTTGAAAACTACAGGAACGGTCATTATCAGTATACTTGCGGCCATGAAATACTGCAAGAGCAATTTGTTTTCTTTTTATTATAGCATTCACAAAAATTCTCTAGTCAAAGATACAGGGTGAGTCAAAAAAAAAGTGTGATTTGCGGCGCCTGTTGCAAAATTATACCTTTTTTTGTGCAACTCTTCTAGCTGTATGGTGTTTTTTCAATATTTTTTAAAAATTTTAATTATTTTGGTACTTAGACCCCAAAAAAATCCGCGAACCTTTTTTCTCACAAAATCAAAAGTTCAGAAAAACAAAAATGTGCAAATAAATTGTTTCTATCGAAATCTAAAATTTTAAAAAGATTGAATCACAGAATCTCAGAAAACTTTCAAAATTGTAATAAGAAAATTCGCAATTTTCAGTTCTGGTATCATTTTTACTGAAAAATAGTTGTTCAATGGTTCTTATGGTTTCAAATGAACAGCGTATATTTAATACTTAAGAATAAACTAAGAAGAAAGGAACTAGAGAATTTAAATAACTTTTCTTTAAAATTTAGACCAGAACTAAAAAAATACAAATTTTCAAAAAATATTGAAAAACCACTATACAGGAGAGTTGCACAAAAAAGGTACAATTTTGCACCAGGCGCCGCAAATCACACTTTTTTTTGACTCACCCTGTATCTTTGACCAGAGAATTTTTGTGCACGCTATAATAAAAAGAAAACTAATCGCTCTTGCAGTATTTCATGAAAAAAAATCAAAATCGACTATCAAAACAATTTTACCAATTGTTTTGAGGATTATCATTGTTTATATTTTTTGATTCAGATTAAAATTACTGCTTAATGTAATAAAAACAAACTCATGGAGCAGCATACCATTTATCATGTATCAGATTATTGTGGAACCTCTTGAAACAAACTCATGGAGCAGCATACCATTTATCATGTATCAGATTATTGTGGAACCTCTTGAAATGTTTAAATGGACTTAAGATCAATGCATATCGCTAGTCTAGTTATTAGTGGTGCAATTGCAGTCATTCACAGAACTGCGATAGTGGTCATTGGTGGTCATTAGTGGTATATTTGCGGTCATCGGGAACTGCAACCGCTTTCATATTATTGAAATGAACTTATGATAATATTTTCTTGAAACCACCCTTAGTTTTTTAATAAATAGATACAGGGTTACTCACAAGACCTAATTTATCGCACAGTTTCAGGTTGTTAATGTCTCATCCTTTGTGGGTAACCCTGTATCTAATAATTAAAACTATATTTGTCACAGCTGGAAGCTGTTCTTTATTAGTTGAAATTGAATACTTCACCTTGTTGCCCTGTAAGGAAGAAAAACTTATCTTCATTATATCAATTTGTCTGAAACCTTCCTAACAAAATTCTGTATGGAAGACATTCAAATGTATGCAATTTCAAAATTTTGGTGTATGTTTATAAAAATTCCCCTTTTAAAAAAATATTGGAAAGTTCTTATTTGTCCCAGATTTAGGGAGAGGGGGGGGGGATAAAATTTAACTTTCTTCCGTGCGGAAAAGTGTGTTAGGTTGGGGTAACTCCACGAAGAATATTTTTGCCATTTTTAAAGCGATTTTTCCGCCTCAGCATCGGCCCCTTATATAAGAAAACTTTAACATGTACGAAATATTTTATGCTTTTTTTAGGTTCGCCTCGACAATAATCCTGTAGAAAAGGAGAAAGGTCGTCTTTCGTCTGTTGTTCAGAAGAAATTGAACGAAAGGTGAAAAAAAAATTTACTTTCATCGATATTTTAGTGAGACAAAAGTCCTCCCATAATTTGGAATTCATGACATTTGTGATCCGCATTAATTTAGTTTAAAAAATCGATGCAAACACGAATATCTTATAACGATCGCTTTTGGATCTTTCATTCATTTGTTAACTATGATATCGCAATAAGTTGAATAAAAGCAAATTTTAATGGATTACAGTTTTGAATTCTAAGTTTTTTTTGGTTTTTGTTTACAAACAGAAACGTTCAAAATTGTCTTTAACATTTTCATATTTAGGCGAGAAAGATCGGCAGAGAAATCTCGGCCAAGAAGTCGAAGTCGGGATCGACGAAGGAGATCGAGAGACCGTTATAGATAGATGGACAGTTAAGATTGGGATCGTTATCTAGTGGAAGCACCGGTAGAGAATGACAATACTACAGTTTAATCAAATAAAAGTTGCGTATAGTACACCACTGTTTTAAAACCCTAGATAAATCCCAAAAAAATGCGTTAAACGTGATCTAAGAATAAATAAAACATTTGTCCTCCCCCCCACACCTTGTATTATTAATTATAACTGAATTAAATTTATTTATTCTAATCCCGATGTACTTGTGTTTCTGTATCACCTCAATTATCAGTCAATGTTTAATAAATTAATTTTGTAAAATTTCTGTTTCAGACAATCATGATTTAAACAAAATGGCTGCTAACATGATTTGAGAGTGAATGGCGGCCAAGAATGGGATTGTACCCCTTCCATCTTCTAAGTGGAATATAACGGGACTGACAGGAACAAGAAATATGAATAATAATATACGAATTCGATGTAAAACTAAACACAGTAAACATTGCTGCCCTTTTTTGTCTAATGATTTCTTTCAAATCTTTCTGCAGCTAGAATAAATGGCCCTAAAGAACAAGTTTTTTTGCATCTGATGTTGTCAAATTGGATTTTCTTAAATTAAGGTATCCTAAAAAGTCTGGAGACGTAATTTAAGTGACCTTTAATTTATTCATCAGGATGCTCGATTCGCAACGGCACCCTTTTGATCTGATCAAGAATTAAATGGGCATCTGTGTATTTTGCTTTATAAGCTACTGAAACAAAGGCGAAAAAGTCATCATCAAACCTTTTCATGCTAGAAATTTGACTATTTCATCCTCATGTTTACAGAGGGAGTTCAATAGGATTGTTACGAATCGGATAAATAAAGGATCACTTGAAATAACGACGACAGGATTCCTTCATCATTAGAATTCATTTCAAATGTAATATTCCATCATCTCGCTGNGTTGTAGGGCTAAAAAAATAGTTTTGGGTAAAAGAATCAACATCATTAAACCTTTTCTTTGATATCAAATTTTTTTCTCTCTACTTCGTATTGCTTAAAACCTCACTTGTTCATAAAATGAAAAAAAACATGGTTTGACGTTTTTTTTCAACTTTTCAAAAAATTTAGATTTTGGTTAAACAAATATCATATAATATTCCTATAGGAATTGAAAACTATGCAACCAGCGATGAATCTGAACCTGAGAATTATAATCCCCTTCCAACTAAAGGTAAACAAAAACCCTCTAAACCATCTATGGAGACAGTTGGAGCCTTGGAAACATCAAGACCGGAAACGGAACTAAAACCATCGAGATCGAAGCCGGAAATTAAATCCTCTCGATCAGAGAAGGATAAAGAAGATGGGAGAAATAAAACCGAGGACTGCCAAACTGAGCTAAAAAAATGGATTTCAAGGTTAGTTAGGGTTAGGGGCTGTTAATCTTGGCATAGGAATTTGTCAAGATATAAAAAGTGTCGCATTTTAAGGTTTGGGTTAAATGTGTACTCGCAGAGGGGGCCTAATTTTTCCTCTTGCACTGCTGTTTTGTCAATATTTGAATAGATAGTCCAAAATTCTCGAAAAAGTTTTTCTATCTTCTAAGAATATGAATGTAACACTAATTTTGGGGAAAAAAATTTAAAATGTATCCGTAAACTAAAGGATTTTTCTTAACTGATATACAAATGTATGAACAATAACATGCCACTATCGTAAAATAGTTTTTTGTAAAATCAATATAAATAATTTTGTATCTTTAATATAATCTCGACACGGAGATAATAAACATCTAGATCTTAAAAAAAATAATTTTTAAACATTCTTAACATCTACAAGTTTCATGAAAATGTTGTCAACGATTGTTCACACAGATTGACCCATACATTAAGTCGGACAAAACCCTTTAAACATTTTTTTACAAAACTCATTTTAATCTGCCTTTTTTATTGTTCCAAGTCCTAAATATATTTTCTTATTTGAACTCTTTGAGGCTCAGCTATAAATCATTCATTATCAGCGTTAATAGAATTTGTTTCATTTAAGGACAAGTGGAAACACGGACAAGTTGTGCGAGAGTAAATATCCCAAGATTAACCGAGGAGAAAGTGGAAGACATGGGGACAGAAGAATTGAAGAAAAGGGAAGGAAAGAAGATAAATCTCGATATTTGGCAAGAGATAGAAGAGAGAGCAAAGACAATGACACTATTAACAGACATGGCAAGGGCGGAAGTCATAAGGAGAGCAAAAGATACGAATCTTCTAGAAAAGATGACGAAGAACTGAGACACAGGCATGGATCTTCTGGTAAAGTTAAAGAAGAATTAAGACATAAACATGATTCTTCTGGTAAAGACAAAGAGGAAATGAGACACAGGCATGGATCTTCTGGTAAAGTTAAAGAAGAATTAAGACATAAACCTGAATCTTCTGGTAAAGACAAAGAGGAATTGAGACATTCTGGTAAAGTTAAAGAAGAATTAAGACATAAACCTGAATCTTCTGGTAAAGACAAAGAGGAATTGAGACACAGGCATGGATCTTCTGGTAAAGAAGAAGTAAGAAAATCAAGTCAAGAAACTTCCAGTATAGTTAGAGAAGATTTGATACGTCATACACCTGAATCTTCCAGTAAATATAAAGAAGAGTTGAGACACAGGCATGGATTGAGAAACAGTCATGGATCTTCTAGTAACGATCAAGAAGACTTCAGAAGATCAAGTCATGAAACTTCCAGTAAAGATAGAAATGATTTGATAATTCACAAACCTGAATCATCTGGTAAAGATGAAGAGGAATTAAGACATAGGCATGGATCTTCTGGTAAAGATAGAAAAGAATTACGAAGATTAAGTCATGAATCTGTCAGTAAAGATAGAAAAGATATGACAAGTCATGAATCTTTAAGAAAAGACCAAGCAGGGTGCAGCAAGGATGGAAGACACAACGATAGCAGAAAAGCTAACACAAAAGAAGAAGAGAAGAAACGAGAGGATGTTAAGATTAAAAAACTGTCCCGGCCCAATACTGAATACTTCAACCAGATGATCGCAAAAGGTGAGACCGTTATTATTTGACACGAAGTGCTTTTCAAATTGTGCCCAAGTAGATCAAATATTGTGAAAGATATCGTCTTCTAAGCTTAAAAGTTGCTAAATTCTGACAATGAAACGACAAATGGGAAATCAATTTTCAAATTAAAAAAGGTTAGATGAAGCTTTTAAGGGTACCGTTGTGAATTGGACATTCAAGTTTTTAAATAAACAGTCTCTTGATACCACAATCTGTTTCGTTTCTCATTCTTCCAAGATTCTCAAGATAAGGTTATACTTGAATTAACGCCTTTTTTTACATCTTGAATGGGACTGAAAGCGTAATTTCAAGTGACCCTTCATTCAAAGAGGGGTATGCCCGATTAACAACGGCACCCTGAAAACATTTGCGTGTTCTTCTTGTACAAAGATATGTCTGTGTAAAGTTACCTGAACGCATGCAGTCAGCTAAAATTGCCGAACACACAAAGGTTTTAAGGATATTGTTGTAATTCGGGCTTTCTCCTCTTTGCATGGAGGGTCACTTGAAATTACGCATACAGTTTCTTTTAAATCAGTATCAATTTTTTTTATGTTAAGGAAAGCACGAGGAAGAAGAATTGAAGAAAAATGCACTTCGTGATCTAGAAAAATATAATGAAAAAGAGAGTGATCGGAAGGATTGGAAACAGAAAGAGAAACAATATGAGAAAAGAAATGAGAGTAGGGAAGATCCGGGGAAGGAAAGAAGGGAAGAGGAAAGAAAAAGATCTGAAATGAAGAAAGAACTAAACCTAGGAGACAGTTTGCTTGGACTTCTCAAGTTAAAAACTGTTTCTCCTCCGAAACCCCGGTCTCAGGATTCTGCTCAGAAACCCCGGTCTCAGGATCCCGCTCTAAAACATCCGTCTGTCCGCAACCCTGTCCCTGTGCCCAACCCTGCTGAGTCTGAACTTTCTGAGTCTCAAAAAATAAAACAAAGACTCCTGACTGCTCATCATAATATTGATGGAAAATTCAAACCAAAGGCTACTGAGGATAACCCGGAAAAACTTAGAATATTTCAAAGACTAGAGCCTAGACTGAAAGCTGATAAAGCCCAGGAAACAGAAAGAGTAGAAGACGATACAGAAACCAGTAGAAAAGAAAGTAGAAAATCCTTTATCACTGAGAAGGACAAAGATTTGTTTCCGGTAGCTTTTAGTAAGAAATCCGCAAAGGAGGAAAAGAGGCGCAGTTCGATTGTTTCAATCGAAGAAGGGGAAGTGTCGAGCGTTCAAGATTCAGATAATTATTCTAAGTCTAAAAAGAAAAAGAAAAAACGAAGTCGAAGTCCCAAGAAGAAGAAAAAGAAAAAGAAAGGTAAGCAAGTTATTTGTATTTTTACTTTAAACAAAATAGATATTTAAAATTTTTTTTATATAGAGTGGCTAAAGGGCTGGCCCCCCTTGGGACCTTCCATTTTTGTTTTTTAATCCATTTTCGAAATGTTTTTTCCTCAATACTCATGTTTCTTAAGGTTAATTTTTTTCTCACTTTTTTAGACTTAAAGGAGCAAGCCTTTGATATAACTTTTAAAAAATTGAAGCTAAAAGCAGAAAAAAGTAAAGCGAGAATAAAACGTAGAGAGGCGAAGATGGCACTTAAAAAGAAAAATCTCAACTTCTCAAGTGATTCAAGTGATAGTTCTAAATCTAGTGAGTCTGATAATTCCAGTGATTCCGATGAAATATCTAAATCTGAGATCACTAAGAAAAAGATTATAATTGAAAGAGACAGAAGTGAGAGCGAAGACAGTGTCCTGAAAAAGAAGAAAAAGAAACCCAAAAGACGGTCCAGAAGTAAAGATAGAAAACGAAGGTACGAAATTTCTTATTCAATTTATATATTAAAGGGGCTTAATTTCCATTTTTAGAGTGATATGAGCGATTCACAACGGTACCCTGTAATCCACTGTGGAAAGGTGTTGAATTAAGATTGATGTTCAAATATTTCTGTGGATTATCTCAATTTGCAAAAATAATCAATTTTCTGCTAGAGAACGAAGATTTTTCATTTATTTTTGATCAGAATAAGGTTAAAAGCTCTACTGGTGTGAATCGGATATGCAGCAGTACCTTTTAACTATTTTTTTATTTTAGGTCTAAAGTGAAGATAAAGACCGATAACACATCGTCCTCTTCCGACTCCGAAGATTCAAGCCGGGCTTGTTCTAAGATCAAGGAAGATGAGTTTGGTCCAGTCCTTGCTGACTTTCGTTCAAAACTGCGAAGTTCTTCTCGCGAAACCGTACATAAAATCAAGAAAGGACAACGAGAATCCGCTGACGAATCCAAAATATACCGCTCTAAAGGAAGTTCTTTGAAAGATGATCTAGAACGTCGTCTATTAAGAAAACGGCGACGAAGCAGCTCTGTTGGTAGTGACGGGAAGTCTAGAAGATACAGAAAAGGAAGTCGCCATTCCAGCCACAGTTCCCGGCATAGCTCCTCCCGGCAAAGATCCCGAAACCACGAGGATGTTAGGTCTACTTCTAGAAGAATTCATGACAGATCTAGTTCTAAGGAGAAGAGAGAATTGTCTGTATATTCCGATGGATCAGAAATAGAGTTTATTGAAGAGGTTACGAACAAGAATATTCAGGGAAAAAATCATTTTTTATAAAAATTCATTTCACGGGAAAACATTAAAAATGTCAGACCTTAAGAACACTTTGTTTGATTATTAAATTTAATGTTTGTAAAGTTAAAATTCCGTGAAGTATATATTTTTCATAAATTTCGTTCTCCCCTTCTATTCTCAAAAATCATTTTAAAAGTTTTTTCCATTTCTGAATCTACAGAAAGTTCATAAACTAAAATTTCAATTTTCTTGTTCTAGAAGATTTAAAAATTCAAGTTAGAGTTGTTTGGACCTCTAAATATTACGTCTGTTAAAAAATATTCCGTTTCAACCCTGAGCCCGTGATTTAAAAGCTTTGGCCCGAGTCTTAATTCTATAGACCCAGGTTTAAGACTCAATCTTGGACCCAACTTATGAATCAGCTGATGACAACTTGTGTCACGGGATCGACAGATGCCAGTTTTTAGACTCGACTTAATTACTTAGACCCAATGAAAATAAAACCAACCTCTTTGGTTTTAGTGGAGAATTAATTAGTCCTAATGTTAAATCTTACTCAAATCAAATCTCTCAAATCTTCCACTCCCAACAATGAAAATCCGCCAAATATTAAAGCAGTTTAATAAACCCAACTCTTAAGAATATTAGTTGCAGCTGAAATCTCAAAGCCTTAGGTTAATGATGTGTATTGTGTATAATAAATGATGAATTTATAGCCGGATACGTCAATAGAACTGGAGAAAGAGATTAAAAACGTTCAATCAAAGTATAAAAGGTAATTTTAAAAGATAGATATTTTACCCTGGATGTCCGACGATAACTCAGGAACCCCTTGTGTAATTGTCCACAAATTTTAATTGGTGAACTTAGTTGAACCAAGAAAATGTTCTGCTTGGTTTCGAAAATTTAAGTTGAGTTGAGTGGGTTGACTTCTATTAGGAAAATGCTGGGCCATACTTGGTTTCTAAGCTAGTTATAAATTATGTAGTAGTAATCCTGTGTCTGTCTGTTTGGATGTCCGATCATAACTCGTCCTTACCTATTGGGAATATGCTGGGCAATACTGGGTTTCCAAGCTAGTGATAAATAAAGTAGTAGTAGTTGTTGAAATTTGCAAGTTTGCAAAATAACGTTCAAAAATTAGTTGCAAATGACAACTTTATAGTGAAAACAACAAACAAAAAATACTGAATACCATAATAGATACATATTACATATTTATCAAGTCCCCTTCAATCTTAAATATTCAAAAATATTTGTCAAACTTTCACCAAATGCCATTTTCAAATTGAATTGGTTAATTTGAAACAAAATTGTAAACTTTACTGTATCCTCTTAATCAGTGCTTAGGATCCATCTAATTTTGATGCGGATCCGAATCCGCACTGGGATTAAATGGATCCAGATCCAGGTTATTTCTTAAAAATTTACTGAATTTTTTTAATCCAGGGTAAAAAAAATTTTTATTTTGAACAAAACATAATTTTCAAACTTTTTGTCTTATTTTTTCGCATATTTTTATGCTAAAACTTTTTAAATCATTCAAAAATCATGAAATTTTCATAAAGTCTTTTTTCATTAGTTCAGATTTGTGTTTTTAGAGTAAAATTATTTTTTGGCAGTTTTTGGTTGATATGCCCCTTTGACCCGGATCCGTGGATCAGCATATTTTGCGGATCCGGATCCAGGATGCCAAAATCCGGAGAAGGTTTAATTTTCATCTGTCTGTAATCTTTTCTAATACCTTTAATCTGTAGTTCCTCTCTTTCAATCGTTGAAATTAATTTTTGATATTTGATTTCAGTGAAAGGCATCAGATTAGGGATTATGAATATGACGTAAAAATGGAGGATGAGGGTTGTGTGGACAGGTGAGGCAGATGTTACATAATCCGCCATTTAAGGGACTGAAAGCATAATTTTAAGGGACTCTCTATGCAAAGAAGGCAATACCCGAATTACAATGGCATCCTTGAAGCAGGAGTTAGATATTTAGTCGCTTATTTGCGGTTTCACTGCAAAAGTGACTCGCGCATTTCTTGTTTATATGAAGCATTTTCCAGTCAGAGAAACGACGGTATCTTCCACAGTTTTAGTCAGATTAAAGGGAGTGTTCGCGAAAAATAAAAGGGGGTATAGGCTTAATGCGATAAAAAAGCGCTTTTGATCGCTTCTAATCTTACTTCTATCTGTTGCGTCCATAAGGAGAAAATTGTTAAAGACGTCTCATACCGAATAACTTAGCGCCCATACAAATTCAGAAAATTACAACATACAACTTAGACCGTAAAAAATCAATTTAATTTCAAACAAATCATTCAGATATTACAACCTATAGTCATCGATTATCTTTCGCCACATTTGTATATAGTTGATTTTTCATGATATGTTTTAATTGTTATGATCTGAGAGTTACTTATAAAAACATTTATTCCTGTTTCGAGGATTTTTGGTAATGAAGACGACATTTTCATATTTTCCAGGAATGTTCGAAAACAAGTTGCAAGCTAAATATTATTTTAAAAAATAAAATCATAACATATTCTCCCTTTAAGGTTTCAAGGGTACCGATGTAAATCGTGCATTGCAATCTTTGCATGAAGGGTCTTAAGGGTCATTTAAAATTACGCTTTCAGTCCCTTTAGTAGGAGTGTTCACCAAACCTAAATTTTTAGGTTATAAGACTTATTGTAGATAGATTTCACAAAATGCACTTTAGTAAGCATTTTCCAAATTCAAAATTAATAAACAGTCCCTTTTTTAAAAAAATTATATTTTTTGATATTTTTCCTGTTTTAGTGTTTCCATTGAGATAGTTGAAGAGGACGCAGAGGAAACTAAAACTATTATTTACAAGGTGATAAATGAAGGGATTGTTCAGTGGTCGGCATTTACATCAATACAATGAAGCCGGTTTTTTATTCAAGTTTTCATTGTTAACAAGTTTTTTCGAATTACAAGTTATCAAGTAAACAAAGAAAAGCTGTGATTTGATAGCTTTACTTTGTTTCCATGATTATGTGCGTCCCTGCTGTTTATAAGCTTGTCAGAAAACAAAATTAAAATCCAAGTTCCTCTTCATTGTATTGAGATATACTATGACGTCGTATCATTGTTAAACAATTTATCAATTATCTTAGAATTGTTAAAATATATATGAAAATATTTTACCGCCTTTTGACCAACATTACCGACCTTTGAATCCCCCTACAGAGGGGTGTTAAGTTACTTAACGCCCCTTGTGACAAGTAAATAAACCATCCGCTCTGCGAAGTTTTTGTGAAAAACTCGCGCTTTTTTATCTCAAAAGAAGATACAATTTGCTAATTTTACTTAATAACGGGTTTCTTCGACCAATTTTGTCTACAAATCATACCTTGCTGCGCTGGTCTTGGGAAACCTTGGAAAAGTAAAATTTCCTTAACTTAACTCTGTAAAGTAGTTAGTTGTAAATTATTAAAATCAGGGTTTGATAAATATCAGAAATAACTTAGCCAAGAAATTAACTTCTTGTTCTCAAACTCAATTATTACGGACGAAAGAATGAATTGGACCCCTTCCGTGTTTCATTTTCAACTTTCATTATCTACCAAAGCTTCAAAAATTTATTGTAGCGCATAAGTTTTCTTTATATTACTAATAGTACCCATGGCAATTAAGTCTTGTTTTTTGCCAACTTTGATGCAGGGTGTCCCACGAAACATGACGGAAGAAAACGACTTGAGGATCGTCTTTGATCTCTAAAAAATGAGCGACATTCATTTGTTTATTAACTTAAGCACGTATGAAGTTAAAACAATAATTACAAAACTCCCCTAGTCCTTGCATTTTCAATAAGTGGCCTGCCTTTTTTTTTGTGCTGTCAATATTACCGTAGATATAAGGAATTTCGGTCAGATTTCATTTTGTTAAATAAAACCAAAATTATCGAAATCTGGACAAATTCTTTATTTCTCCAATTATGTTGCAAGTACAGAAAGGTAGACCAAATTTTGGAAATGCTAAGACGGTTTTTGTTATTTTAGCTCAAGAATTCTACTTCTAAAATTAGTATTACTAACGAAGCAAATCGTCTTTCTACTGTCATGTTTCATGGGACACTCTGTACTTAAATTGCAGGATATTGACCTGGAGAGTATTCCGATCCCTGAATCCTGTTCTCCTGATATCCCAGAGAAGGAGGATACTGAGAGAAGGGTGGTTCGAAGAGTAGAGAATCACGAGGAGCAGGTTAAGAAACCAGAACACTATGAAGAAGAAGTTGTTGTTGAAGAGGATGAGGTTGTTCCTTCTGCTGAGGATAAGAAGTTGTTTGATAGCATGATGAACAACTTGATAAACACCAGAGCTGAAGCTCAGAAAGAGGAGAAAGGTAGCAGATATCTGGTTCGATATTTGATTGAACTGTGAGCGTAATTTCGAGTGGCCCTCATTTAAAGGTGGCAATCACAACGGTTCCATTGAAATCTTTATATAATACATGATGTGGAAGATAATGCCGTTTTTCTAGGTTCAAGGTGTTTAATTCTGATAATTCCTGTATGTTTTACTGCAGTAGAAATGTGCAAGTCACTTTTTTAGAGAAATTATATTTGAAAGTAATCCGTTTCCAACATATAAGTATAAACATTAATATTTGTTTTCTACTTGATCAGACAATTCTTGAAAGCATGTTGTGAATCGGACATTGCCCTCTTTGTATAGAGGGTCACATAAAATTACGCTTACAGTCTCTAAAATTTAGTCAATTATCAGTTTTTTGGGTCTTATATGAGCGAAAAGTAGAAATATCAACTCAAAGCAAAATGTAAATCTTTCTCAGACTTACTTTCAAAACCTGCAGTATACATTTGGGGGACTGTGGTGTGGTTTGTGTTTGTGGCATTCTGACCGATCCGTTTTTTGAGGTTCTAAATCTTCCAAAAGCAAATTCTATGAAATCTAAAACTATTGACCCATTTAATGTTTCTCTAGGCAAACAATCCCATTCTGCTAAGCTGAAGTACCCAATAGGAGCATCTCAAAGATCTGACGGTACAGATTTCTATGAGCACCTGGAGAACCGGAGAGTTAACTATCGAAGGGTTGAGGATGATGATTCTAGGAGGAATAAGAATTCGGATGAAATGGTCCGCAATAATGAGGTGGCTAGGATTGGTAACGATGAAAAGTCAAGATACATAAAGGATGAAGAATCAAGATACGCAAAGGAAGAGGAGTCAAGATACATAAAAGATGAAGAATCAAGATACGTAAAGGAAGAGGATGAGGATGAATCTAAAATAACTAGAGGCCGTTGTTCCCAGTCAGCAGGTACCATGAGTTATATTCAATATTATAAAGAAACTGAAAACATGAAAAACGAAAGGGCCTCAAGTTCTAATATGGAGGATACCGTTACGGCTCCCAGCCATAGAAATGAGCATTTAGAATATCAAGAATCAAGACGAAGGGTCATTGAAGATCGATATGACCAATTTAATGATCAAATCCCAAGTAGGAGGCGTAGAAACCAAGAAGAAAACATGGGTGAACCTGAAAGTAAATACCAAAGGTTTGAAGATAGAGACCCTTATGAAAGGCAGACTTATCAGCAACAAAGGCCCCAGGAAAATAGATATGGTCAGCCCTCTGGGTCAAGAGAGAGCCAAGGGTACAAGGATGACTCAAGCCAGCAAGGCGGTGCAGCTGGACGGTATGATCGGTTTACAGGGGAGGAGGAGAAATGGTTTGAACCTAAACCTGATCTACTCGGCAATGCGCGTCAGAAACTTCTACAATCTCAGTCTTCAGGGATTCATGTCTCCCTCCGTCAGAAAATCACGTTTGGACTAGGGGACAGAGATTCGCCTGAATTTCAGGTGCGACGATTTTTTCAACTCTTTCCAATCAATTGATCCATATTATTAAAATTATTTCGGTATCTTCAGGGCTTTTCTCGGTAGACCAGGACTCTACTTTAAAGACATTGCTCTGTTTTCTAATAGCATTACATCTTTTTATGTTATAGATTGACTTGAAGACAGAGGTTCAGCGACCTGGTCCATCTTTAAGTAGAAGCGGTCAGCCTTATAGAGAGGACGGAGCACATCAACTTTTCTCTAGAAGAACAGCACACGGCAGGGATGGTAGTCAAGTTTCAGGTAGATCCTTAGTTACAAGATAATTTGGGCGAAAACACCTTATCTTATCAAACCAGATCTAAGAAACCATTTTCCAAATCTTCTTTTTCAAAGGTTTGTTGGAAAGAGTTTTTATCTGTGAGAAATTATGTTATCGGAAAGTCATTATAAATAAATTTTGACACCGCAAATTTTCTAATAAAATGGAGAGAACAGGTCCCAATTGAAAAGTTAAATGGCTTTGAACCAAAGACAGACAAGACTTTTTGGGGCGTTCTGCTAGCATTCCCAAATAATGAAGTAGAACTTGCTTTATAAAATCACGATTAAGGTTTGATTTTTTAGCCTTTTTGACAGATATGTATGGCATTCTGATTTTTTTGTAATAAAAAACGGCTTTCTTTTGGTGTTCTATAAGCCCTTAAAAGCTTGGTCTGATCAAGTATGTAATATTTATCCGTGTTATTTCTTTTAGCTGTTTATTTTCATTTGCGGATTCACTGCGCAAGTGACTTGCATATTTCTTGCTTAAAGGAAGCAGTGGCGAAAATATTAGAATAAAACACGACGGAATCTTTCAATTTTTTACCCGGGTCCGAATTAAATAAATTCAAACCGCGTCTTAAATCCCCCAAAAAACGGTTTCAATTGAGCGCCGGCTTAAATCTTGAAAAATTGAATACAATTTTAAATGGAACCAACCAAAGTTGAGCCGCGGCTCAAATTCTTTAAATTCGGCCTCAGACTTAGATTTGAGGGTTGTTAATAGCTGCCATTTTGTTACTTGAAAGTACGCTGGCAGTCACTCTAAACAATACTCTTGTCAATCTAGGTTCAAGTGGTGAACAGAGTTGGCATGGTAGGGAGGATTTAACCTCTAGAAGAACCTTCTCCGGGGGCAACAAATGGGAACCTGACAACACCAACCTCATTCCACGTCAGAGACATGACGTGAAGAGCCGGCTGGGAACAGTGGGAGGAAGAGATCAAGCATGGAACGATAAACTTGATCAAAAACCTGGATATAATAACACCAGATGGAGAAACCAGGAGAATTTGGATACTCCTAATCCTGGCGGAAGTAGAGATCAGAACTATCGAGGAGGACGGAATTTTGGCGGTAATTCATCCTGGCAGGACGGAGCCTCTGAAAATCATTGGACACCAACACACAAAACAAAAGCTAGAGAAAGGGTCTTCAAGATGTTGAATGATCAAAACAGTAAAAATAAGGTAACTTTAATCATCATGGTAACTTCAAAAACATTTCTGTCTCAAGCTTTAATACGTCTTCCTTTGGGGGTGCCTCATATATTTTGATTTAAAAAATATTGATGTGATTTTGAAAATATTACAAACGTAAATATATTCACTTAGTTCAAATATGTCTCTTGATTGTTGTATACATTCCCAGGTTATGAACTACCGGCACGAAGCGAACAGAAAAAAGAAGGATATTATCAACTTTGCCTCGGTGTACCAAGAACAGGTACTTACTTATTTCATATCCCTTTATTCCCTGACTATTTAAAAATCTGAACAATCTCTTTATTCCCTGACTATGTAAAAATCTAAACAATCCCTTTAATCCCTGATTATTTAATAATTTGAACAATCCCTGTAATTCCTGATATTTAATAATCTGAACAATCCCTGTAATTCCTGATATTTAATAATCTGAACAATCCCTGTAATCCCTGATTATTCAATAATCGGAAAAATCCCTGTAATCCCTGATTATGTAATAATCTGAACAACTTCTTTAATTCCTGATTATTTAATAATCTGAACAATCCGTTAATCCCGATTATTTAATAATCTGAATAATCCGTTAATCCCGATTATTTAATAATCTGAACAATCCGTTAATTCCTGATTATTTAATAATCTGAACAATCCGTTAATCCCGATTATTTAATAATCTGAACAATCCGTTAATCCCGATTATTTAATAATCTGAACAATCCGTTAATCCCGATTATTTAATAATCTGAACAATCCCTGTAATCCCGATTATTTAATAATCTGAATAATCCCGTTAATTTATTAAATTCAGTATCTGATTAACATTATTAATCTCGAATTGTTTATGTAAATGGATCCAGATCGAATGCACTGCTTAAACCCTTTTGTCTGTTTACCAATGTGGGAGATGCTGTCGTTCAATTCTAAAAATTTTCTCATTTTTTCTTTTTAAGAAATTTGCAAGTCACTTTAAATAGAAACCACAGATGAAAACAATTTGAAGTATAAAAACATGGATATCTCATTCATTAATGATTATACACCACTTTTAATTGTTATCTTTCTGAATTGGACATTCAACTCAATAAATGGAGAATTATTTGAATTTACGTTTATATTTAATAATATTAATAATATAAATCATTTAAAGGATGAGACTCTGTCTGGTGGTCTAGTGTTTGATGAGGAGGATCCTAGCTCCAGCTCCTGGGAACGGGTTGACCCATGGGAGGCTAATCTAGGTGATAGATAGATAGATAGATAGATAGATAGATAGATAGATAGATAGATAGATAGATAGATAGATAGATAGATAGATAGATAGATAGATTAGACAGACAGAGACAGACAGAGACAGACAGAGACAGACAGAGACAGACAGACAGATAGATACAGACAGATAGATACAGACAGACAGACACAGGCGGACGGACGGATAGATTTAGATCATATAGGAACATTAATATCTTATCAACATTTCCATGTGTTTATTAAATTTATCTAATCTAGGTCATGTAGAGACCGGTCTCAAGGCTAAACTTGAACCTAAACCCAACTTTATCCAACAGCTAAATGAGGAAATAGACGGGGAGGTGTTCAGGGGAGGAGTAGGAGAGAATGAGTGGGAGTATGTGAAGGTAAACC